CGCTGCGGCAACTTGAGGGCTCCCCACACCGAGAACAATGTCGCTACTGAGGATAGGAGATTCGATAGTGTGAGGTCCCGAAAATGATGCGAAAGGTCCCACGGAATCAGACTTCTGGCTGGGTGAGATAGCATCGCTAGGACCGGAGCCAGAGGGGTTCTTCCAATTCCCACTGGAAGATGGACTTAATGCTCGTTTTTTTGAAGGACGCTCTTGATCTACATTGGAAGAAGAGATCCTAAGGATTGAAGTCGACTTGGACCTATCCTGATCGGAATAAGACGTTGAATCGTTTGATTGAATTGTCTGTAGGGAAGCAAGGGGTGGTGAAGACTGATTGCTGGCACCGTCGATATCACGTCCAATGTCGAAGTTTTCCAATGTGTCCAGGTTGTTCGAATCATGTATGTTTATGATGTCTGGGGTCTCATCAACAAAACTTAGAGCTCTGGTTGTCTTGACCCAGGGTTGGTCTTGAGAGAAATTGTAGTCTCTATTCTTGGCTTCAACAGCCTTACCAGATCGTATACTTCGTGTGGTGAGCAACAGAAGTCAAGGACAAATGGCAACACACCTCGGATTCAAGCCATGACGAAATCTCACACTGAAACCTCGAACGCACTCAATATCGCTCTTTCGACAATTGGCACAAGAAGGTTTATCGTTGTCGCCTGTTTTTTCGGATCAGTTTCCATTGACCTTGATGTAGGGTGTCAAAATAAACTCAGCAAAGACTCCCCTAAGCTTAGGCTAGATTTACCTAAGCATTTTCATCGCTTAGGGTCAAAATCCTAAGTTTTTTCCTCCCTTAGGCAAGGTATTGCAACCACCACCGTTGGGAAAGTAACTCACACTTAAGATGTCTATCAGAAATTGATAGTCAGAGCATATTTCTCCAGAAGACACAACGGAGTAATCAGAAACGGGCAGTATTCCCTATTTTCACGAGATACTGACCTTTGCTTACAGACCTTGAAAGCGGTAACTGTCAGTCTACAGCCTCCTAGGGGCTATCGTAGCGGGGCGACTTACTGAACATGGATTGAGTGGCCTTGCTGTCTTAGTTGTCGTTGATAGAGACTCTGACATGATTCATAATACAACTGTTACCAGGGGACAGCGGGTATCAATAACGAGAAGACGGCCCGTTCCAACCAAACTTTTGATGATGATGATGAGGAGAATTGAAGGATGGAGTAAGAAGGAATTATGACCCAGAGTTGATTAAAAGGGCAGTTGCCATTCTTGGTCAAAAAGGGCAGGCGCAGCCCGCCATGAGTGGGCACTATTGACAGGCGAATCAGCGGCCAGCTGGATCCAATTAGCCCCGAACTCTAACATCAGACTGCCTGAAGCTCACTGGAGAACAGGCTTCCCCATGGGGATGGCTTCAATCGTTAATCTGTCTGGGGACTGACTGACGCACATTCGGGGTAGACGAGCCTAGCACGGTCTAGATTCCCTGCTCATCCAATCAATCGAGTCCTCGGCCTTGGGGATTCTGGTCTAAATGCCGCTCGTTAGTGTAATCCGGGGGCAAGGCGTCAGGGCGTTGAGACTGTGACCATGCTAGCCATTCCACGTTTTTCTGAAAGGGAAATATTCATCCCCTCATTGCCATCAGCTACAGATGAATCAAGTTTTGGAGTAGCAAGCAGTACCAAACCCGAATCCTGGTTTGGTGGTGTACTTCATCTGGGATGTTTAATATATAAGACCTTCGAATATCAGCTGAATTGCTTCTTTTCCAGATCAGCATCGAACTTCATCTTCCCATTCTTCAAACCTCTCTGGAAATCCTCAAAGATATTCAATAACTCCAATATCAGCTTCACACTATCACAACCCCAACCGGCATCATGTCCAAGGCTGATACTAAGGAACATCTCGAGCATCTCGAGGATACCGGTTCCCCAAATTCCATTCACGAAACCAACATCAACATCGATGATCTCGACTCTATCGAGCAGACCGAAACCGGCAAGTTCTCATGGCTAATCAGTATCACTGCCGCCATTGGTGGCATGCTGTTTGGTTATGATACTGGAATTATATCTGCTGTTCTTGTATGTTCCCTCTCTCTGATTTTGATTTGCTGCCTCAGATACTGACATGGGATATAGGTCTACATCCACCAAGACCTCGGCAAGACTCTTACGTCTCAGGAGAAAGAACTCATTACCTCGATCACCTCTGGTGGTGCTTTTCTGGGTGCCATCTTTGCAGGTTGCTCTGCTGATCGGTACGGACGAAAGGTTGCTATCTATGTGGGCTGTGTCCTCTTCATTATCGGTGCCATCATCCAAGCCGCTTCTTTCTCCGTCGCTCAGATGACTGTTGGCCGTCTAATTGTTGGATTTGGCGTTGGCAGTGCTGCAATGATTATACCTCTCTACATTGCCGAGTGTGCACCGAGCAAGTATCGAGGACGTATGATCGGTCTTGATAATATGTCGATCACTGGTGGTCAACTGGTCTCATACGGAATTGGGGCCGCTTTTGCTCAAGTCTCATCTGGCTGGCGATATATGGTAGGCGGTGGTGCCATCCCTGCTATCGTGCTTGCGGCTCTTCTTCCTTTCTGCCCTGAATCTCCTCGTCAACTCATCTATCACGGAAAGCCTGAAGAGGCGGCCGCAGTCATCCGACGAATCTTTCCCAATGGTACCGAACAACAGGTTCAGGACAAGATCCGCCACATCACATACCACGTCAATGAGGCCAAGTCTCTTAACGCTGGCAAGTCTCAGTGGTGGGTGTTCAAGCAGCTCTATGTCAGCCCCGCAAATTTCCGAGCTCTCGTATCTGCCTGTGGACTCATGGCTATCTCTCAGCTCAGCGGCTTCAACTCTCTCATGTACTACTCTCCCTTGTTGTTCTCCCTTGTTGGTTTCTCCAATCCAGTCGCTGTCGGCACCATCATTGCTGCCACGAACTTCATCTTCACCTGGGTCAACCTTATGCTTGTTGACCGTGCAGGCCGCCGAAGAATTTTGATCTGCACAGTTCCTTTCATGGGTCTCGCTCTCGTTGTTGCTGCCGTGTGCTTCAAGTACATCCCCATCAACCATGATTTATCTCTGGCATCAGATGCTAAGATCGGCTGGCCTGCTATTGTGGTCCTTGTCAGCATGGTTATCTTTGTCGGATTCTACTCTTCCGGTATCGGCAACACTGCTTGGCTTTCAAGCGAATTCTTCCCAATGGAAGTCCGAGCTATGGGAACTATGATGCTTACCATGACCTGCTGGGGATCCAACATCATCGTGTCTTCGACATTCCTTACTCAGATGGAGAATACTACCCCCTCTGGTGCTTTTGGTTTCTATGCTGCCATCTGCATTCTAGGCTGGGCTTGCATCTACTTCTGTTACCCCGAAGTTAAGGGTATGACTCTTGAAGATATTCGGGAGATCTTCCAGCACGGCTTCGGTGTCCAGCGAGCTCGAGAAATCCAGAGGGAGATGAAACTTCTCAGGAAATCTACTGACTCTGATGAGGTCGCCAAGGCTTAGTAAGCGGTTGGAAGGGTGTAAGACGATTGTGTTGGCACCCTTTTGGGTCTTGAGGGTTACAGTTGCACAGAAGTTCTTCGGAGGTGGTCTGCTGGGTTCATATACGATTCGGCGTTGGTAGATAGAACAACTAAATAAGACAATCATATCTGCCAGTGCCGATTGTCTCCAAATTTCTCCTATTTATAAATTGGCCAATAAGCGTTTCATACCCCAAAAGAACTCACCGGACGAGCCTATTGGTATCCCAAAGAATTTCGTAAGACGATGAACGGACCTTCTATAAACTTTAGGGCATGTTTAGGTAAGTTATGATGAGTTCTTAAAAGTTAGCCTAAGAATATGCTAAATTTCATCCTAAGATGGTCTAAAACACCCGGAACCCAAGGACTGGTGCTCGTGATGAGCACACTGTATGTGAAGGCATGCGAGCAGGACTGTATTGTGGGGAAATGCCTTTATTTCATCACAATCGTATGTAATTTCGCTTACAAACTGGACAGAGGTAACAACGATGATATGCAATGTCAGCTATACTGCGACTCTGACTGTTGACAGGATCATCAAGGAGTTGTAAGAGGCACGCTAAGAAGGCGTGGGAATAGACTGAGAAAATAATTAGCAGAGAAGTATAAGCGTGTCTATTTGTACCATATGATTTATAGTGACTTGATTGAAAATTCTACAGAAAAGAATCATCGTGAGATTTTTGATGTGGTGTTGTGTTACAACCGAATAATCTCAGCGAGTAAATTAGCGAAGTATTTTACCGGCCAATCCAAGCCAACGGAATGGGAAATTCTCCAGTCGGAAACCACGGCGAGAATTTCCATGACGAGAGTTTCCAAGAGATGTTGCCTCCTTCGGCCAATCTTTCCAATCACGTCTTCTTCTCCTGAGTCAAGGAGGGGTTCGGAGAGTTAAGCCTCACCCGCAATGCGGAGGCGATCCATGCTGCAGGGGTCAGGGTTCCGAATTACAGGTCTATTTACAGTAGGAGGCTCCGATAGAAGCTTCGTAGCTAATTACCCCATTTGGAGAAATCTGATTTGTATTCTCCACTAGCAACTCATCTTCAACCTGCATCGGGTGTCTAAGATGAGAAGAGTCGATGATCTAGCCAATGGCCATGATACTATTCTGACTGAAAAGCGGAAGGATGCAGATCTTGTGACTTCTATTCCAAGCCACTGGAAGAAACCATGTACTCATGCAACGCGGGTCTGTCCAATCGAGTTGAATGTGGTGTTAGGGTTGAGAACGAGTCGAGAAAACAACGAGCAATGCCGCAAGAGCTCCGAGTATCGGTGTAAATATTCTTGACCTAGATTAATGAAAAAGCTCAAGGTATAAGGGAGGAGAGCTCGCTCGTGCTCATCGTCTCTCAGCTCTTGACTCTTCAGTCTCATTGTTGTTACGAGAACCCAATAGACACACAGCTTCAACCTAATACTTTCTCTATCACGTCTTTCTTCTCTCAGAACAATGGCCTCTCCTAAGCTCCAAGTCGCCGTTGCTGGCCTCGGCCGCATGGGTGCTCGTCATGCTCTCAACTTTCACAACAGAACTCCCCGCGCTGAGCTCGTCGCAGCCTTTACCCCTGTCCAGAAGGAGGCAGACTGGGCCAAGGTTCACCTCGAGGGTGTTACAATCTACAATGACTACCAGGAGATGCTGAAGCATCCCGGCCTTCAGGCTGTGGTAGTCGCTACCGTAACTACCGCTCATGCTGAAGAGGCCATTCAAGCCATTGAGGCTGATAAGCATGTTCTTTGCGAGAAGCCTCTAAGTACCAGCGTTGAGATCGTTAGTCCCTCTCCTCAAAAATCAAGCTTATTGAGAACTCTAACTAACCTTAATTCTTCAACAGTCCCAATCCGTGGTCGACGCCGCTGCCAAGAAGCCTCACCTCAAGGTCATGTGTGGTTTCTCCCGTCGATTCGATGCCTCATACCGCGATGCCTTTGATCGCATGGACAGCGGTGCCATCGGTCGCCCCTCCGTCTTCCGATCTCAAACCTGCGATAAGCTTGACCCATCCGGTTTCTTCGTTGCCTATGCCGAGTTCAGTGGCGGTATCTTTGTCGACTGTAACATCCACGATATCGACCTTGCCTTGTGGTACTTTGGCCAAGACTCTATCGTCAAGTCTGTTGTTGCTACTGGCATCACTGCTGTCCAGCCTGAGTTGCGAAAGCACAAGGATGTAGACAATGGTGTTGGCATCGTTGAGTTCTGGGGCGGCAAAGTTGCATACTTCTACTCTTCGCGCATGATGGCTGCTGGTCAGCACGACATGACAGAGGTTATAGGTACTGAAGGCAAACTTGCCATCAATGCCAACCCTGTCGGCAACCTTGTTGAGATGCACGAGGCAACCGGCGTGCGCCGACAGATTCCCGGCGACTACTATGGTCGTTTCGAGCATGCCTTCGTCACAGAAGCCAACGAATTCACATCTTCAGTGCTTGACAACAACAAGCTACCATTCAAGCTTACTGGTGCTGTTCAGGCTGTTAAGATTGGTTGCGCCCTCCAGGAGTCGCTCAACTCGGGCAAAAAGATAAACTTTGATGAGACTGGTCGTCGCATCGAGGAATCTAAGCTGTGAAAAGTATTACTATTACTGAGCGTGTTCGTATTTAGATGAGTTTATAGAATAATTGGACTTTGTTTGCGCGAAACGAATATCCTGATTTTATAGCTGAACTGCCAATGGAGATGCGTTGTACTTAATATCGTACCTCATAATATAAAGCATTATCAGATAACAGAGTAGAATACAAGCCCCGAAAACCACATTAGTTGCTAGTCTCTGTCCGCCAAGCGGTACTAAGCAGCACTTTGGTGTACCGAAGCCGTGCTGGAAGATCTCTCGAATACCCTCAAGAGTCATGCCCTTGACCTCAGGGTAAAATAAGTAAGAAGCGGCCTGTATGATGGCACTTGGCTATGTGCCAATCACGAGCACCAGTCCTTCGGTTCCGTCGGAGAGCGCTTTCCCTCTCCTCTCCCGTGTCTGGGATCTCAGCATCAGGGGCAAAGCTCCTTTTGCTAGATGCATTCAGGACGGGAATCCCAGACTCGGCAGCAACAGCAGATTGCAAGGCATCTAGGGCTCTTTCTGCCTTCAACTATCCATAAAGTTCCATAAATTGCCATAAACTCCGTGTCAGTGGCAGGAGCAATTGGAGTCGGTGGTTGATGAAGAGAAGGGCTTGGCTGAGGGGAGGAGGGAGGCTCAACCCACTCCATGGTAAGTTGGGCGTCATGATACCCCATCCCCATGACACGGCAGCCAAGCTCATTTCGCAATGGGGAAGATGTGCGTACACCTCTCTCCAGAGGCGCTCTCTGGCAACCTCTGCCACCCGCAGGATTCCCGCATCAGTCTTGGCCCTTAGTTCTTCAACAATTGATCTGGAAGAACTTACAAGAAAAATTGGCATAAGGCTCCAGCTCAATAGGAGCAACGACTTGGGGGGCGAGGGGGCAGGAATTGAGGCCACATGGACTGGGCCAGACGGTCTCTTCAGACTCATCCCAGGACTTGTGAGAGGCCAAACCTCTCGGAGAACACGTCCATAGAGTTGCCATTATTCACCACGTGAAATCAGTGTAAATTGATGGGATGATGATATGTCGAACATACAGCAAATTACGTGTCAAATCCTCTCTATGTTCCATGCTCATGACTGACCACAATGACTTCAATTAGGTACATAGGTACCTACATGTGCCTTAGCTCCTTCCCCTACCTACCTAGGTAGGTATCCCTCAATTCTTTTGTCTTGTAAAATGACGTACATTTTTTTTTGTCCTGAGGAAAGAACCAGGTACATGCCGAAATGAAAACTCAAGGGGAAGGAACACCTTTTTTTTAGGGAAGGCACAGTTCAGACTACCACCACATTTGCGTCGGTCACGACGGTTATAAAGCATCCACTAGCTGCACTTGGCACATAAGCTGGAAGATCTTCTGTTCCTTGATTCTAGAAAGATGCTCTCTTTGGACACTGCTTTGTTTGGAAGCAAGGTTACTCTCTATGTATCATCGGCATTAGCGTTCCTAGCACTTATCGTTTTGCAACTAAATACTTAACTGACAAAATTATTTGTCGACATCGACTTTCACTACAATGTCTTTGCTCTAAACCGGGCGAGCTCACACAGATGGCTTCGGGTGTGTGAGTTGATGCGTAATGGGTCAACGATCTATGTAATAGTCTAACTAAAGTTGAGATAAAGGAAAACAAATTCCCTTTGGTTCATATAGAGATACACAGGTTCAGGTATCAACTTGCAACTTCAACCACACCGAATTATGTACATAGCGTCATGTAAAAATGCAAGAATGGGCCCAAAGTCTAATGTAGCGTGTTCATAAAAATACGACAATTAGAGACTATATCCCTATCGCTTTCTCTCAGGCCAAGCATCTGCAAGACCCTCATAAATCGTCACATTACTGAAAGACACCTCACCACTTCCCTGATGGAAGAAGCGTATGTCGGTCGAATCGGCATACCAAGAACTAAAAAGTTAGCAAGTATCATAGCACCAGGGAATATTCCAACTTACCGAGCCCAGGTGGCAACTCCAAATCGATCGTTGGCATGAACCTCAACGATGGCATTATCCACGACAATAGTAAGATCCAGTGTCTCGATCTTCTCATCCTCATCAACAAGGACATCAAAAAGACGGAGTCGACCAGCTTCAGGACGAGCGTCAATGTCGCTAGTTGTGAGGGCTGCAGCACTAGTGTTGCTACGATCGATGATGATGGATTCGTTGGAGAACTGGTAGTAAATAGTGGTGGACTCCTTATCAGAGGCCAAAATCTGGAAACCAGCCTTGAGCTCCGAGTCGCGAGCAGATTTGGGGAATGAGATAGAGCTCTTGAGAACGTAAAACTTGGACTCCGGGTTGCGGTCGAAGGGAGCTGATCCTGCCTTGCTGATGTTTCGGCCCGGTTCAACAAAAGATATCTTCTTGGTGAACTCAGCCATAGGCTCTCGAGCAATAACCTGCTTCAGAGTAGCAAGTTCTAAAACACCTGACTCGTTTCTCTCAACACGCCAGGATCCTTCTTCGCGTGAAAGCTCATTATCGACGACATTACTGATCCTACCAACGGTGAGCTCTCTAGGAAGGAGAAGAGACCCAGTCCAATTCTGCTGAGGAGTAGGGAAATACTTCAGATCACCGTAGTAATCTCCAGTAAGCCAAAGGTAGCTGATGAATCGATCTGGTGCACCGCTCTTGGACGATGCCTTTGAGTCCGAAGGGAGGTATTTGCCAGCCGCGGCGTAGGCTGATCGTCCCCAGTCAAGTTTGCCAACCATTGAAGGAGTGAACTTTGGCTTTCCGTTGTCGAGGGATATGTTTCCTGCAGCCCACAGCATGTCGCGGAAAGACGACACCTGAGGAACAATAGGCTTTTCCTGCCACTCCGCTCCAAAGGTGATGAATGTCTCGCCGTCAGAGTTATACCCCTTCTCATCAACACTGAAGACATTGGCCACTTCAAAGTTGAAACCGTAGCGTCCTGCCCAGAGACCATCACCCCAGGTGGTGTTGGCCTTCTCATGCCACCACTCGCCGAGATACTCCCAATATTGAAACTCCGGGTCGTGCTGACGATAGAGAAACATACTAGGACCCTTTTGATGAACACCGCCAGAAATGACGCTATACCATGTTCCTGACTCGCTTTCCAGAAGGCTGTCAAGATCTTTGTTCTGGAAAACGAAGGGATCGCGGAAGGCCGTCACGTTGAGAGCAAACGGAGGTGCTGGGATCGCAGGACCCTGTCGTAGCTTTGTGAAGTTACGGCCTCCATCCTTTGACACAGCGAGGGACTGCGTCTCACTTCCGCGAGTGTAGTTGATGGTCCAATGGATGGGGAGGTAAGATACAGAGGTGTAGAAGAGCGTAGGCGTGCCATTGATGCCCTTGGGTATAACGGATCCGTCAAAGACTGCCACAGGATCATTTAGACCTCCAGCCCGGATGAAAGGAGCGCCTCCAGGGTTGAGATCTCGATATGTCACGAGATCATCCGTTGTAGCACCCGCAGCACCCTCATGGAGATATCCAACGTGGAAGAGTCCAGTTTTGGGGTCAGTGTAGTGCATACAAGGATCTCCAATCTGTCCAGTAGGAGGGAGTACGTGAGCTCGAGGACGCCATGTGTTGTAAATGGTCAGATTGGCCAGAGTGCTGAGATTTGGGGGAGCGCGGTTATAGTCAAGCTTTGGAGTCGATGGCTTGGCCCAGGCAAGAGAGCCAGCCGTCAAGAAAAGTGAGAACTTCATGATGTATTCTGCAACGGTTACATGCAGATGGACATCAAAATCGTGGAGCCACTGAAACTATATATGCCCATTACAACGTCCCATACTTTCTCCTGTCGCCCCGACAAATAGTGAGGGGAAGGGTAACATCGTCATGAGAAACCCAAGAAGCTTCACTTGAACTAAACTCGGCGATACCACGGCGTCAAAGAACACCTGAGAATTGGACTTTCAGGCCTTGAAAAAATAGGATGAACCTGGGAATCCGGAGATTTGCGGAGTTTGTGTGGGGAGATCGACGGTCTTTCTTCCTAGAGAACCATGGTGTTGAGTTTCTAGTGACGTATGCTCAATAGAAGAGGCACTTGGCAGATGGCACTAATGAATTATGCTTTCTTCGCGAAGAGGTTTAGAATCGAGACTTTGATTGTTTGGTAGAGTTTACGATGATCAGCAGACGCCCATAGGCTGAATATATCCAGAGACCTGCTGCAAACTCCATCATGACCATTACATAACGTGGTTTGGGGAATCAAAACAATCGAATGACATATGGGGTCGAGAGTTTATATGCGGAGCCATTGTCGGACCGAGGGACAATACCACTTCCCCATATCTCCAGGCATTGACCGTTACAATGGAACAAGCATGGGAATTAGACTCAAAAACCGCCTTGTTTTTACCCAAGTCTCGGGGAGCAAGAAAGTATCAGACTTTAATATAGAATGTCAAAATAAACTCAGTAAAATGTATTCTAAACTTGTCCTAAACTTATGCTAATTTACTCAAGCCTTTTTGTCATTTAGGATCAAGGTCCTGGCTTTTCTTTCCTCCCCTGGCCAAGTAAATGGCTCGTCTGGAGACTTTTACGTACAGAAGCTGATCCCTTCCTTTTGGTAGCCGACGATTTGCCATCAAGGCCAGCTCGTGAGGTCAATGAACGTTATAGTGGTAACTTCCATTCTAGTTCGATAGGTAGATAAGCCTCGGGAGATAGTTATCCGATCCAAGGTAGGTAGGTAGGTAAATATTCAGTACATCTGCCGTGCCGTTATTGTAGGAGGCCCATGGTCATTTCAACTCTTGCACTTTTCAGATTCACAACCACACCAAAATCATCATCGCAAATACCATCGCTTTTTGATCAGCAAATATACTCTTTGATAATCAAACACGTTCATACCAAAATGATCTCTCGCTTCACACGTCCTCTTTCGCGCTGTTTCAAAAGAGGCGACCTATACTGTGTCTACCATCCTTAAAGAATTTCTAAGAGAATGGCCGCTATCCTTCCTAAGAGAAGAAAGGAAAC